ATTGCAGCCGAAGAAGACCTAGAAATTAAGTAAATCGATTTCGTTGGGGCTTTTCTTAACGCTGGTGTGGACTCCGATATATATATAGAAGTCCCTAAAAGCCTATACGAATATAGCTTTAGTAGCTAAACCGCTATAGACCTTCTGAAACAACATTGCTGGGACCCTTCGAAGGACCAAGTCATAGTACTAAAAAGGTCCCTATACGGCCTAAAACAGGCCCCCCACCTATAGTAATAAAAGGTTACGGTACTAGCTAAAACCCTAGGCTATAGTCCACTAGTTTCAGACTCGGCTACTTACTATAACCCTTACAAAGGTATCTTTATAGTGAGCCACGTCGACGACTGCCTACTGATTGGACCTTTTATTATAGAATAATTTAGGCCCTGAAGCTATAGTTAGCTTAGGGCTTACGATATAGAGGACTTAGGCCCTGCTAAGTTCTTTCTCGGGGTTTAAATTGAAAGAAATAGGCGTAAAAGGCTACTTTGGCTCTACTAAAAGGCCTATATCCAAGAGGCTGTTAAGCACTTCGAAGTTAGCACTTACGCACCTACCTTACCGCTCTCTCTAGGCCTTATAGGCCCCGAAACTCCCTCTGATCCACTAAATAAGGCCGACACTAAGCTATACTAGAGCCTACTAGGCACCACTACCTACCCGATGACCTAAACCCGGGCCGATATTACCTACTCCGTTCAGTGGCTTTCACGGCACCTACAAGCACCTAAGGTAGCCCACCTAAAAGCAGCTAAAAAGCTGCTAAGCTACCTATATGGCACGATGGACCTAGCTATACAGTTAGGAGGTACGGGTAGTATTAAGCCTATAGGCTATACCGATAGCGATTTCGTTAGCTGTAAAACTACTGCTCGGTCTATTTACAGCTACTTATTTTTAGTAGGAGGTGGCTTTGTAAGCTGGAAATCTAAATGAGCGCCTACGGTTGCTTACAGCACCCTCGAGGCCGAATATACGGCCTTAATCGAAGGTAACCGGGAAGCCCTGTGGCTTAGAGGGCTATACAGTGAAATTTAGCGCTCTCTAAAGAGCCCTACCCCCCTAAAGTACGATAACTAAAGTGCTATAAAGACAGCCCATAACCCGAAGCACTATAACCGTACTAAGCATACGCTCCTTAAATTCCAGGGCGTTAGGGAGAGCGTTACAGAAAGAAATATCACTATATCCTTTATACCTATAAAGGATATGGCAGCCGACGGCCTAATAAAGGCCCTACTAGTACCTAAGTTCCAGCGCTTTTTAGAGCTAATGAACTACCGGAAGCCTAATACTTATAAGGGCCCTACGGCCTAATAAGTAGGCACCCAGCACTCCTATAGAAGGGGTGTTAATATGTGGGTATTACTAAGTGCCTTACTTACTGCCCTACAGATTGATATTATAGTGGGCAGTACTGCTATAAGTAGTAATGGAATTTCCCGGCTTGGATCCCTTTAGAATGTTCTTTATAAGGGACCCTTAAAGGCTTACAGGGCTACTGTGGCCTAAGGCTTAGTTAATAAGATACTAGAACTTTCTAAAGTGGCTATAGGCTTACGTAGTAAGTCGCTATAATAGTATGATTTATAGGGCACCTCTGCTGCCGAAGGTTCTATGGATTTCCGTGAGTCTACACTAGACCCACCTAAGCCCACTAAATACCTTAAAGTGGTATAGGGGCTTCCAGGGCCTACAGGACCCACAGTAGGCTTACGAAGGCCTATATATAGACCTCTCCTCTCTCCTGTAGAATAGATTTCTTTCTTTCCTTAAGGGTAAAAGCTTAAGGCTAAGGCCAAAGGCTAAGGCCAAGGGTAATAAAGGCAATTCTTATTCCTTATACCTTACTGTATTACAGTGCTTTACCTTCTTTCGGCACTGCCGTCGTATCCTCTAGCTTCCGCTTGCGCACTGCTGTATTTTATAGTAACCCTGTATAGGTTCTATATTATAGGCCTATCAGGGCTTACTAGCTAACAAAATTAAATTATTTCATTATTTATTATTTTAATTAAATAATATTATTTTATTAATTAATATTAAAAATATATTTTTTTAGCTATTTAACGTATTATAATAATTAATAATAATTAAATTATTAATAAAAAATATATAAATTAAATTTAATACTTTAATTTTTATATAGTATTTCGTACGAAAAATAAATATTAATTATTAATTTTTAACGGCTACGAGAGCTATTACTCCGAAGAATTCGAAACTTATTATTAGAAATATAATATTATTATATTATATATATTTCCGTACTTCTCTGTGACGAACCCCTGTACAGAACCTCTGAAAGGGATACGGGTTGAAGGTAACTTCTGACAATTAGTTCGGTGTAGCTAAATAGTGCACAACAAGATGTCTCGATGTAAACACAAGATGCCGTGAATACAAGCTTGAATTGCATACTGCGGAACTGTCTATCTACACCAGCCAGTTCCTCCGTATATATAGACCTCGTGCCAAGCCCTGATCATAGTGATCATTCCGCTCGTTCCCAATGATCACAATGATCGCTATGATCCTCCGTGGCTCCCTATTGGTTGTGTTGCCGCGATCACTTTGTCTTCCCAGTCTGCTGTCCATGATCGCGTATCCTTGTCCTGATTGGTCCTGCTAGCGATTGGCTGTGCGTCTTGTGCCCCGCACACGGTCCGTCCTGCCTGTTTGGCTTAACTGTGACATTCTCCTATATATTTTAATTATTAAATATTAATTATTTTATATTATTAAAAAGGATATATAGTTATTAAACTAAATAATTAATATAAATAAATATTATATATATTAATAAATTAAAGTTTTTTTATATATTTAAAGAAATATTTTTTATTTCGATTATAAAAAAAATTTTTTAAAGAGATTTTATTAAAGCTAGCTTTATATTATATAATTTAAAAAAAATAATATTTAAATTAAATATATATATTCGGACCCTAATACCCTTAACCTTAAACCTAATTACGGTACTACCTTAAATCTCTTAAACGTTATATAACCTTTAAAAGGTTACTTTATAATTAACGTTTATTAAAACTCGAATTTTTAATTATTAAAATAGCTTTCTAACCTTAATACTAACCGCTATAAACTAATTTACTAAAGGAATAATAAATATAATATACGAGGTGGCTCTTCTCCGTATAAAGGTCTTTTCGCTACGCAAGGCTAATAAGGAGCTTAGTAAGAGACGGAGAGCTAAAAAAACATGTGTGCGGCTTAGAGGGTCACTTACTATATAAGAGGTATAGGATCTACTAGATCAAAAGGCTATAGGTGAGCAGGTAGCCCAGGAAATACGATAAAGTGGTGGTGGTGCAGGGGGGTCTCGTACGAAGATTCGGTGCTGTAGCGTGTGCGGTAAGCCTGGCCATAATGCACGTATATGCCAGGAGGCTACAGAATCATCTGATTCATCTATTTCTAGTTCAGTTATCGTTGTTTCCTAGTGTTATGGTTATGTAATTGAGGATAGCTGTGGTAGGGTGGTAGAAAGTGCGGCGCTCGCTTGTCTGCGGCGCTCGCTTATCATGCACGTTATGCTAAACAATAAAATAGGCAAGCATGCTAGTCGTCGGTTGTACGTTTGACTTGGCTGCATCTTGAGAGCCTCGACTGGTTGAGGCGTTCCCAAAGTCTAAATCAACTAAACTCCGCCCAAGTTTCGTAATGACTCGGGGTTCCGGCAAGGGGTGTTCGGTGTGCAGATTGAGTCAAGAGCCCACCGAGGTTACCAAAAACGGTATGTAGATAGTGCGAGTGGGACAACACCTGCTGCTTCTAATTTCTGGGTTGACAGATGTCAGGCACGCAACACCTCGTACTTCTCGCATTTCAGGTTGCTTGCACCTCCTCGCACTGCTGCACGTCTTGAACATCTCCCTGTGATGAGCGGTAAGTTTTGCTCCTGAATCAGCTTCCACCTCGGTCTTAAACTGCAGATCCAAGCTCATTTCTCCGCCGGCACATGGAAAAGCGTTTCTTGGTATCTGGTCAGCGGCTGTAGATGAATCTTTCAAACTCCGGGTAGCGGTGGTGTAACCTTCCCAGTGGTGGGCCGTATGTCTCAAATCAACGGTAACAACGCAGTCGTAATTGCTGCATTTGATCTGCTCAGCCTCCTTGGTCCGGGTCCGGATAACACCGTCCACTTCCACACTTGGTGCTGACCACCTCACCCAAACTCGGAAGCTGATATTTGGTGTATAGACTGCAGTGCGACCGAGAATTTGTTTCCCCGGCTGTTTGTGGGCTCATTCGCGCGTTCGTACTGTGGGACCTAATGAAGCCATTGTGTTTCAAATACCCAGATCCCGGCCCCCCGAGTATAACTGTCCTACGTGGATGCATAGCTAGGTAGGCAGGCATGCATGCTGGTACTTTAAGGCACATAGGATTGACCCTTGCAGGCTGGTACCCAACGATCGACAAAATCGAATGCTGGATTCTCAATGTACAGTACGATTCCCAGGGCTGAGGTGGTGACAGGCCGTTCCCGTCCCTCGTGGCGACAGCTCAAGGTAGGGATGCAAAAAGCCGGGAGGTGTGCGACCGACTTAGACCCGCGATGATGGCTGTGGGGGTCCTGGACCTGGGACAACGTACATGCGGGCAGGCCCCGTATGCCTGCAGTATTGTTGATCATCATGTTGTATGGTATAATAGCTTGAGAGTCTCCCATCCACATGCATTGCTGTTGCTGGGTGTTGTTAATTCCTGCGAAGTGATCAGCGTGCCAGCCTACTAAATTTCCCGGTGCCAGACCTATACCTCAGCAAAGCAAACAATGTTTGGTACATTAAACGTAGCGCATGATGTTCGGCAACAGACACCGTTAAAGTTTGTGGAGAACAGAGATCTATCATCGGCACTGAGCCGAAACAGTCGAGAGAAACCTCATGTCTCCTGTGAGTTTTGCAGATCGAGAAAAGTACGTGGAGCACCCCCCTTGTCGATCCCGATGAAGTATCGAGGCTCACAAAGTTATGCAGGTTCGATGCAGTGGTCAGCCCTCGGGTTGTAATCGATGCCAGGCTGTAGGAACCCAGTGCAGGTACCCTCCGCGTGAGCCACGACGGAAGAACCGAGCCGGAACTGGTGGTGACAAGACTGGCACCGACACCCAGTCCCAAAAGCCAAAGTCAGATTCAAAGCCGTCGAATGAGCAGGATCAGGGTCTAAAGTTCAGCAAACGCGGAACATCTGAAGAGGGAGACGGGTCAGCGCCAGGAGTCGACCCGCAACTTTTGGATCAAGAGATGAAGAGTAATAGTTACTGGTACCAAGAGTTTGGCGGTCATGGTCTGGCTACTCCCATCTCACCGCACTCTGGTGAAGAGCAAGGCAGTAATGACAGACTGGACGACTGGTTGGACACCAACGGCATTTTGGAGTCAGAATTTCCCTCGATCCCGGGAAGGGTGGACGATTTCCACCATTTCAATACCGACATGCTGAACTTTGGCACTGTGGATGGTGGGAATGACAATTATTTCAATGGTGAGTTGTTCCTTCGTTTTGTCTGCCATCGCCTCGTCGTTAGCATAAAAGTTCTGACCGATCTGTGCAGCCCTTAGACAATCAGCACCTACAACTCCGGCTCTTGTGAACTTCCCGGATCATATGGTCCTGTTCGAGGCCCCGGCCTCAATTCCTGAAAGAAATCCATCCAACAAGAATGCTTCCAACCACCAGGAAACGCTCAGGCATCTATCACCATTGTCATCATGCCCATCGAGCCACAATCCTGCCACCCCATCGACTGCCGAAGATACACAGATGGCGAATATGGCCGAGTTATCCGTGACGAGCGGCTCCTGTGGTTGTCTCCAGCTCGCAGCATGTCTCCTTGAGGAGCTGGGTACAAAAGCGGCGGCAGGTGACCGTGACCGTGTTCGGATGGATGTCTTGTTGGGCGACTTCCGCGATGCACTCACACAATGCACTGACATTCTTGATTGTGAGCGCTGTGTTGAGGCACGGGAAATCAACATGCTCTTGGCCATGTCTGCAAAATACACGAGCACAATGTGCCAACGATTGGCAGTATGTTATGCAGAGCTCAAGCGAGCTCGGGGCTCGGAGAAAGATGGTGGGGGAGTGGGGGACTTGAGGTTCTCGACGTACCAGATCGAAAGTCTCAAGGAGCAAGTCGAGGTGCTTGGCTGTCTTGTGATGGTCCAGATAGACGACTTTGCGCAGATAATCGCGAGGTTGAAGACACGCCCGGGCATTCGGAAGGGACACTTGACGCTGCTGGCGGAGGCGAGGAACAAGGTCAACGCCTTGCAAGTCTTGTTCCGTGGAAGACAGGATAGTTCGTTTGTGAACAGTGTAAATAATATGTATTAGAGCAGATACCTATCAACGACGTGGTCTTGCTGCGATGGAAATGTGTTGTTGTTGACCGGTAGCCGACCAGCATCTTTGTCCCGCTCTGCCTGGTGGGTGATTGGTTCTCTCCCAAAACACCGCACCTTTCGCTGAGTTTTCAGTTTGTTGCCTGAAAATTAATGAACAAATCACGTCATGTTCCTGTCAACTTCTTGCACGAGCTAAAATGCTGCGAATCATGGAGAATTTCGACAGGATTGAGAAAGGCTCGGGTGTCAAAACAGCTTGAGGGAGCGTCACAACCGAGGTACGTTATATGTCAAGGTCATCCAAGGGCCCAAAGAATATCCAACATCTAAAACTAATTCTTGATCTTGTAACTCTATATCATCTACATGTCTAGGTTATATCTAACACAAAATCCACTAGCTTTCTGTCTACTGTCCAAAGCTTTACATAAAAGAAGTGTTTATACAGGACCAACCCCCCCGACTAAAGATTCCAGTGCGCAAAACGATCGCTCATCCCAATAGCCCAGTCCAAAGCCCTGATCACCTCCTTCACCTCGCTCGGCTTCTGTGGTGGCTGGTGGCCACCGCTGTGCACCATCTTCTTCGCCAACTTGGGCTCACAAACAGCATACGCCACGTCCGACATGGCCCTCATGAAGCTGTAGTCCTTTTTTCCCGCGACATGAACAGTCGGGATCCAGATCTTCTGCTTGACGAACGAAGGGTGCATAATCCTTGGCGCTAATGACGGATCACCCCCGGCCTCATAGATGCTAAGGTCAATATCCGGCAAGAGGGCATTGTTTTTTCTGGCCTCTCCCACAGTGCGATCGAGAAGCTCGACAAAGACACGCTGCTCCTGATCGACTGCTGAAGGATCCGTTTGATCGCAGAGACTTTGGATAACCTCCTCACAGACACCGACATCGGCGGAGCAGGGGATGACAGACGACATGATCAAGGCGAACTTGAAAGGGCGGAGTTCATTCTGCGTTTGCTTTCTGTGGAGGTAGGAGAGGGCGAGGGCACCGCCTTGGCTGAAGCCGAGGATGCCATCAAAGGGACCGAGGTCGTCAATTGTCCTGTCGAGGTGCTCATGGGCTTCGATCATTTGTTCTGGTGAGTAGCCAGCCGTGTGGGAGAAGAAGGGACCATCGAAGGCGGCCATGCCTGTTGATTGCAATGTTAGTTTTCCGCTACTAAACTCAAGTACTTGTGGTTGATCTGAAGCACTTACCAGGACCTTGCTCGCAAGGGAAAGGCCCATCCACAAAGACAAAGTCAAAGCTTGGATCGACTGCCTTGAGAAATGGCCGGAGCTGGGCCTCCAACATCTTCCCCGAGCTGCCTACTCCGTGGAGACACAACACACGCATGGTAAAGGTTGGTAAGAATGATACACCAAGGAAATGCAACAAACCGTTCAAGTTGAACGTTGGAAAGTAAACAACAGAGACTGAAAAGAAATATGAACAGGGCTGACTGAATGGGGAACATGCATACAGATAGCCCGTCGAAGAATGCTCGCTTGAGGGCTCTGCGTACCTGCTGCCCATTACCCCATTTGGCCCTCTCCGTCACACAGCCACACGGACTTAATGTCGGACAGCCAAGCCTCACTCGCGATAACACTGCATCAACTCGGTCCGTAACACTTACAGACGGATGGACTGACGATCACTTTTCACACAGAGTCGCACAGTACTGTCTGGATATGCCTTCGTGATGGGAGCAAGACTTTACAAAACGACTTCATTGTCTCCCCATGGTCCGTCTTGAATGACCAGGATCCTACAGAGTTAGAGCAGGTATCAGAAGACAAACAGAAAAAGCTTCAGCCCGCAGCAATGGATAACAGTCAGCAAGAGCCCATCGCCATCATCGGCGCTGCATGCCGTCTCGCTGGAGAGGTCTCGTCCTTGGGGACCCTGTGGGACATGATCAGCAACCGCAAGACTGGTCATGGCAAGATACCTGCTGAGAGGTGGAATGCTGATGTCTGGCACCATCCTGACCCAGACAGGAAAGGAGGTGTAAGTTAATCCCTGAAGAAAAGTACGTTGGCGGTACGTGTTGACTGACTTGGTAACCAGATTGCCGTCAAACATGGGTACTTTCTCAAGCAAGACGTAGCCCACTTTGATGCGCCCTTCTTTTCTACCACTGCCAAAGAAGCGGCAGCAATGGACCCCATGAAGAGACTGCTTCTTGAAGTCAGCTATGAGAGCATCGAGAATGGTGAGTTTCCTTTGTGCCAAGGGGCCAACATGATGCTGACATCTACCCGCAGCTGGAATACCAGTGGAGAACCTCATGAACTCACGGACAGGCTGTTATGTGGGTTGCATGACAAACGACTACGAGATGCTCTCACTCCACGACATACATGACATTGGTCACAATGCTGCGTCAGCAACGAGCGAGGCTATGACAGCCAATCGTGTATCGTGGTTTTTTGGGCTCAAAGGGCCTAGCCTTACCCTGGACACCGCTTGCTCGTCCAGTCTGTACGCGCTGCACCTCGCATGCCAGTCGCTGAGGACGAAGGAGACAGATTCGGTACGTTGAATCTCTGTCCAACTTCAGTCCCTCACCGTGGTATGATGTTCTGACCTTGCTGATAGGCACTTGTTGCTGGGGTAAACCTTCTCCTTGTCCCCAACACCATGCATCAGCTCTCAGCGATGCACATGCTCAGCCCTGAAGGGATCTCACACACTTTCGATGACCGAGCGAACGGTTATGGTCGTGGCGAGGGTATTGGCTCCCTCATCGTCAAGCGCCTCTCTGACGCTATTCGAGACGGTGACACCATCCGGGCTGTCATCCGCGGTACTGGTGCGAACGCCGACGGCAAGACACCAAGTATCACACAACCGAGCTCTGTCGCTCAAGCTGACTTGATCAGAGACACTTACGCTGCGGCCGGTCTCCCTCTCACAGACACCCAGTACTTTGAGTGCCACGGCACAGGCACACCAGTTGGCGACCCGATAGAGCTTGAAGCCTTAGCCACAACATTCGGCGTGGCTCGGAAGGAGGCTGGCCTTGGCCCTCTCTACATTGGTAGCATCAAGCCCAGCGTGGGCCACACCGAAGGCTGCTCTGGTCTGGCAGGCGTCTTCAAGGCTATTGCTTGCCTGGAAAATGGCATGCTCGTTCCGACATATGGCGTTGAGACCATCAACCCCAAGTTGAAACTCAAAGAGTGGAATTTGGCGTTGCCACAGGAGACAGCACAGTGGCCTACCCCTGGGCAACGCCGGATCAGCGTGAATTCGTTCGGATTTGGCGGCGCCAATGCCCACGCCATTCTTGATGACGCTCACCACTATCTTGCCGAGCGTGGGTTGGCAGGAAACCACAACACCATCGTCTGGGAACGTGATGGTGCTTATGCTAATGGACATCACCCAGTAGCCGACACGCCGCGGCTGTTCCTGCTTAGCTCCAAGGACCAGGCTGGCATCCCTCGCCTGGCTGATGTTTACGCAAAGGCACTTGACGCCGCTCATTCTGCCAAAGAGGATTCCCACTATCTCAGCAACCTGTCGTACACTTTGGCTTCCCGAAGATCTCACCTCGACTTCAGGAGCTTTGCCGTTGCTTCAACTTTATCGGAGCTGACAGAGAAGCTTTCTAAAGGGCTTCCAAAGATTAAGCGCTCAGCCCGACAGGACAACAACCTGGTCTGGGTGTTCACAGGACAAGGAGCCCAATGGTCAGCCATGGGACGGGAACTCCTCGGCAACCCAGTCTTTGACAAGAGTGTCCAAGCCTCACAAGTCTATCTGGCCAATCTCGGCTGCGCCTGGGATGCGGTCGAGGAGCTCACCAAGACAGCTGGTTCCAAGATGCAGTTATCTGAGTACAGCCAGACGCTCTGTACTGTCCTCCAGGTCGCCCTCGTCGATTTGCTTCGGTCTTGGGGGATCAAGCCTCGGGCCACAGTCGGACATTCGAGTGGTGAAATCGGTGCTGCCTACGCCGCGGGTTACATCAACCGCGCTGATGCCGTCAAAATTGCCTACATCAGGGGTCTCAGCTCTGCAACGGTTACCAGACAAGGAGCAATGTTAGCCGCTGGCCTTTCCCGTGAAGAAGCTAACGAATATTTGACAAAGGTCCCAGCACAGTCTGCGGTCATTGCTTGCATCAACAGCCCGTCCAGTGTTACTCTGTCGGGTGATCTTAATGCCATCCATACCCTTGAGAAGCTGATTTCGGCTGATGGCAAATTTGCGCGGACACTGAAAGTGAAGACGGCATACCATTCGCCTCACATGCGCGCCGTTGCTCAAGGCTATCTCGAGCGTATTGGCCACATTGATACCACTGCCGAAGGGGCTAACGCCAACAAGACAGTCATGTACTCCTCGCTGACTGGAAAGATCGTTTCACCAAAAGAGCTCAGTGCTCAATACTGGGTTGCCAACTTGACCTCCCCTGTCGAGTTCTCGGCAGCGTTATCAGCCCTTCTCGCCCACACTGTGGCATCCACCACTGGCCGTGGAAGACCAGTCCCCGTTCGCTGGGGCGGCATCCTCGAGATCGGCCCTCACTCCGCACTGCAGGGGCCTATCGGTCAGATCATGGCAGCGAGCAACTCGGAAGCCATCAAAGAGACACCCTACATGTCACTGCTCCTCCGTGGCAAAGACGCAAGAGAAACATCACTCTCTGCTGCTGCTCAGCTCTGGGCTCTCGGCCACACGGTTGAGCTCTCTGCAATGGTCGACTCCTTCGACCTTCCCGACACAAAACTCCAGCACAAAGCCTTGACTGACCTGCCCGCCTACCCTTGGAACCACTCCCGCCGCTTCTGGCACGAGGCCTACATCACGAAGTCCAACCGCTCCCCCAAATTCCCCAGAACTGACTTTCTGGGCGTCCCGGTTGACATGCAAAACAGCATGGAGCCCAAATGGCGCAATCACCTCCGTATCACGGAGAACCCCTGGATAGAAGACCACAAGATCACCGGAACAGTCCTCTACCCCGGCGCAGGGATGCTTGTCATGGCGTTGGAAGGTGCCCTCCAAGTCTCCGACCCAACAAAAAATGTCCACGGCTTCCGCTACAGCAACATCCGCTTTGAGCGGGGCCTCGTCGTCACAGCAGCAGATGAACCCGCAGTCGAAACATCTCTCAGCCTTCATCCTGACGCTAACATCCCCGGCAAGTTCGGCTTCACAATCTACTCCACCACCGGGGACTCTTGGACTTGTCACTGCCATGGTACAATCTCCCTCGAGTACGACGCCAACGGCTCAAGCGAGGTAGAAGACGCAGGTACGGCTGTTGACCCCTGGACCCTGTACACGGCCAGATACAAGCAGCTCTTCTCCGACTCTGGCGCCGAAGAAATCGACGTTGACGAGTTCTACGACCAGCTCGAGACAATCGGCATGGAATACGGGCCCCTATTCCGCAACGTCACTTCGCTGTTTGCAGTCCCAGCCCAACACGCCGCCCACGGCGAGGTCATCATCCCAGACACTGCCTCCGTCATGCCCATGAGCTTTGAGTACCCCCACGTCATGCACCCCGCGACAATGGACGCAATCTTCCATTTGTTGCTGGCAGGCTTCAACGACGGCCGTCCCATTGACGAGGCTGCAGTGCCGTACAGCATAGACGACATGTTCGTTGCCAGCGAGCAACCCCACGGCGCCGGGTCAAAGTTCCTAGGGTACGGCCAGCTGACAAGAAAGAGCGGAGGTGGCCGCGAACTGGTGGGGGATCTGGTGATTTCGGACGAGAGGTGGTCTGGGCCAAAGATGGTCATCAACGGATTTGCTCTTCGCCAGGTCACATCTGCTGATGATGCTGGAATTTCCGGCTCCCAGGAGGACACTTTGAAGAAAAAGTGCGCTCGTGTCACTTGGAGTCAGGATACCGACTTCATCAAGACAAGCGAACAGCTTGTGGGTGTGTCGACTGATGCGTCGTTACTAGCTCAGCTGTCTGCTTGGTTTGATCTCTTGCAGCGCAAGAAGGCTATTGGGGAGGTCTTGGTTGTTGCGAGGGGACAATGTCCCGGCACCTCGGAGATTGTGGGCGATGTGTGGCGTCGTGTCCGCAGCCGTGAGGGCTTCCAGAGTGTCAAAGCTGTGTCAACCTCTGCCTTTGGTGTGGAACAACTCCGTGCATTAGTTCCGAATGCTGAGCCTGTCGATCTGTGGGACATCTCTGGCGACGCCGAACCGCCCGCGTCAAGCAAAGGTTACGACTTGGTCTTGGTGATTGGAACCGACAGCTACCCCGACTTCTCCACCGAGCTGCAGAAGCTGGCTCTCCTTCCGCAATCTCATATCGTTCTCATTGGCGAGAAAAATGTTGAGGCCTTTAGCTTAGAGGGGCACCAGTCGTCTCTCCACCTCCAAGGGAATGGCGATGCAGCGGTGGTGTTTGCATTTGCTGCTGAAGAAGCCACAGTTCCGCTGGAAGTCTGTCTTCTTCTTCCATCTCCCACTTCCAAGCAAACTTCAGCGTTGGCCTCCAATCTCACAACAGTGCTCTCTGCTAGTGGCATCAACGACATCAACACCATCACCTTGTCTGACCTCAGCACCCTCGACCTCACCAGCAAACACGTTATCTCCCTACTCGAGTCCGATAAACCCTTCATCTACTCATGGAACGAAAACGAGTTCACAAGCTTCAAGTCACTCATCTCCTCCGTGGACCATCTGTTCTGGCTGACCCATGGCGGTGTCCTACAATCATGGGCAGGAGGCGTAGAGTTCGCCGCAGCTCAAGGCTTGCTTCGTGTCTTGCGCAATGAGTATACCCTCGCATCCTTGCCCCATCTCGATCTCTCCATTGGCTTTGACAGCACGACGCTCTCGAGTGCCGAGCTTATCGCCTTCGTGTGGCGGGCTTCACTTTTGGAGGGGGCCGAGATGGAATATGCCGAGTTCGAAGGCAAAGTTCACATCCCTCGTGCTGTGGCCGATGTCGGATTTGACGGGGATTTGCAGCTTGCTGATGGGACAAAGCAGCCTATCCTTGGACCTCTCAAGGGCGGTAAGCCGCTGAAGCCGATTGTCGTAGGGGCTGAGAAGAAGATTGTCTGGGTTGAGGACGAGGAGGCATCACTACCGCTTGGTATGACTGAGGTGGAGGTACAAGTCGAGTTCGTTGGGCTGAGCAGTGGCAACACCTTCTCGCTGACTGGCACTGTTGACGATGACTCCATTACTGTACTCGATAGGTGCGTGGATGCAGTTGGTGTGGTATCTCGTCTCGGAGGCGGAGTAAACTCGCTCGTTGTTGGCCAGCGTGTTGCTGTCTTGAAGGGACATGGGTGCAAAACTCACGTTCGTCAGGATGTCAGTTTGGTGGCCCCCGTTCCGGATAGCATTCCTTCAGAGAAGACCGCGGCATTGCCAAGCGCATTCATTACTGCTTTGTATGCCTTGTCTCATGTCGCAAGATTGGACAAAGGTCAGACGGTGCTCATCCACTCTGCTGCCAGCGCTCCAGGACAAGCAGCCATTCAGATTGCTCAATACCTTGGAGCTGTCGTCTTTGCTTTGGTCAGCTCCAAAGGGGAGAAAGCCATCCTTGTGGAACAGCACGGCTTACCTGTGACGCGCATATTTGATGCTGGGTTGCTAAACTTTATTCCCGCTATTGGCAACGAGACAGGGGGTCGTGGTGTCGATGTTGTGCTCGCGAACGAGGCAGATGCTGCTGTTTCGGCATCCCTGGCCACGCTTGGTGATTTTGGGGTCTTCATCGATCTCAGAAGCAGCGAGTCTACCGGCAGCATCAGCCCTCCATCCGGCAAGAAGAATGTATCCATCGTTCGTGTCATCATGGACAGCGTGGCTCAGGCAAAGCCTCACATCATCAAGAGCCTGTTCCAACAAACCTTTGACATCCTCTCAACCAACACCATCAGGCCCATCACACCTACCACCGTCTTCTCCGCCAGCGATGCTTCTCAAGCACTGCAAACCGCCACAACACAAGCTCACGGGAAAGTTGTACTATCCCTCCAAGGGAGCCCCTCAGTCCTCATCCCTCCCGCCCCAGCCCCTGAACTCCAATTCGACCCCTCCGCAACCTACATCATCGCCGGCGGTCTCGGAGCTTTAGGTCTCAACATCGCCGACATGATGATTGCGCAAGGAGCCAAGCACCTCATCTTCCTCTCCCGCTCGGGCGGTACGAAGAACCAATCCGACCTTGCCCGCCTCCGTTCCCACGGCATCACAGCCGAGGCCTTCCCTTGCGACGTCACCAACTCCACCTCTGTCTCCAAGGTCTTCTCCCACCTCCGAAGCGCCAAGCACAAAATCGCTGGTGTGATCCAATGCGCCATGGTTCTGGAAGATGGCATCTTCGATAACATGACCCATACCAAGTGGTCCCGCGCATTTGCTCCCAAGTCGGCCGGCTCCCGGAACCTCCTTGCTCAACTCTGGCCAGATGAGCAGCCCTTCTTTATCTTGCTGTCGTCAATTACTGGTGTGATAGGCAACACCGCCCAAGCAAACTACGCCTCAGGCAACACGTTCGAGGATGCCCTAGCCCTCTGGGCTCGAACCCACCTTCGGATTGCCGCGACAAGTATTGACGTCGGGTTGGTAGCTGACTCCTCTCACTTCACCGAGGCAGGTGAATTCGGTGATTTGGAAGGCTACCTTCACCGCTACCAACACGGCTGGAACGGACTCCAGACCACACTCGACGAACTCCGCGTCGTGCTCAAGTCCATCATGAGAGGGAGCACCGCCGACGGTGGCAACATCCCCGCACAGCTCGTCCTCGGACTAGGTGACTCCCTCATCCGGGATGAGAACGGTACTGGCTTCGCAAAAGACAAGAAGTTTGAGCTGCGGGTTGTGAAGTTGGACAAGAGCGGGGGTCAAGCAGGGGGGAAGACGGAGAAGATCGGGGAGGTGTTGAGTCGAGCGTCTAGTGTCAGTGAGGCGGCTGCTGCGGTGGAGGAGTACATCAAGTTGCAGATTGCTGTTGCGATTGGGGTTGAGGTGGGCGAGGTTGATGCGCAGAAGCCCTTGCCGGAATTTGGAGGTACGTGCCCCACGTCGACGTGTGAAATGTTTAATCGGGATACTGACATGGGCACAGTGGACTCGCTCAAAGCGGTTGAGATCAGGAACTTGTGTTTGAGGGAGATGCAGAGTGATATTTCTGTGTTTGAGTTGTTGAGTTCGACGCCCGTGGCCGAGCTTGCAGTCAAGATTGTGACGAAGAGTGGGCTGGTCAAGTTGGATGCTGAGGCTGTCTGATAGATTGTGGAGAGGTAGAGGAGATCACTTACAAAATTAGTTACCAGGGAAGTACCAGGGGGGAAATAGGCGTTGGTGATAGACGATAATAGTTCATAGATAACGTTAGCGGATACACATCTTGAATTGTCCCAAACGCCACCCAACCTTTCGAGGTTCAACCACCAGGCTCAGACATCCTATGATTTGAGAATCAACACGGAAGTGCCGAACTCACCTGCGTCATCACCTGCCTCTTTGGCCCAGAACAGCTTTACCCCTCCCAGCTCTTGAAGTCAGAATCAAGTGAGCCTGGCATTCTGAGATATGGATCCTCGGATATAATGAAGTTGTTGCCGGAAGCCATGTTGCTGACTGGCCAGCATGATACGAGCTTCTTGCAATGGTACAAAAGAACTGATGATGTGGAGCAGTGTAATCTGTATTGCAGGAAACATGGTTAACTATTGAGTCAATATCGGTTCAGCATCCCATCGGGACCGAGTCCAAAGCAACTCCTAATTCTTATCAACTTTATTGCGCATTGTCCTTCTTACGGCGAGCACATATCAAGTAGAAATAGCCATGTCTCCCCTCCGAGCAATCCCAATATTTCCTCATCCTCCTGTCATCTCCTACATTTGAGTCCTCACTACCCTAACATTATCACCAAAAAAGACCCAACATGATCCCCTCATTCATCTTCGCCCTCCTCTCACTCCCTTTCCTCCTCAGTCGGATCTCCCCTAAAGCCAGTCACAGCAGACCTCCACAGCGCAACCAGCACCAGCAAACGCCAGGCAGTAGAAGGCTTCCACTTTGTCAGCTGCGGAATCAACTACTCAGTCCTGGTCGTGAGTCCTTCTCCCATCCCATCCATGTATATCGCAAACACTAACCACCCAAACACGCACCAGTATTGCGCCAACGACGGGGACTGCAACCATAATCCCAGACCCGGCGCCGGCGGTGACTGCAACCCCACCCCCAACGGGGGCTTGACAACCTAGGAGATAACAGGAAACTAACTGCCTCTTCCCTGGGAAATATGGAGTTAAATGGAACTTTGGGAGCGATTGGCGGACCAAGCCTTTCAAATATCATGTTGGGTTAGTAATTAATTGCCCCTTTCCGTATTATCTTACACCGATACATTCTATTTTGCTAATGCGAATCGCTTCCTGCTAAACACGCCTATCTAGCAATCTGCAGCGACATTCAGATGGCCTCGTATTCATAATCTACAAGGACGATCAACACACCATGTACGTTGATGGGGTTGGAAACCAGTGTCGTTCCATTTATTTTGCCCTACCCTCAACGGAAGGAGGTGCCGTACCCTTGAAGTACCTCGGCGGTAGGATGACGACAACACACACGTTGGGTACGGGCGGGATTCAAGACCCAGGAAGAATGAGTCAAGTGTCCGGCCGAGAGGTACATCCTCCAGAGGCGTGCCTACCTGGGTCTTCTAGTGTTCACACAATTCACCATCTTTCATCAATAGCAAGTGTAGAGTTGCTGTATTCTTTTTGAAGCCCGAACACATACTTTGTCCATATCATAACATGAATATTGCTCTTTTTCCAGACAATACTCTCACGTATCCCTCCCCGCAAGCCACGCCCTCCCCTTCAACTCCCCAATTACACTATCCCTCATCCACCAAACCTCCCCCCTCTCCACCGCATCCAACTCCCTCTCCCTCCCCCCAACCACCCCCTCACTCTTCCCCCCACCCTGTCCCTCGACCCCAACAGACATAGAAAACCTTCTTTTTCCCGTTTTTGGCAGGCGTCTTCCCCATCATCATCCCCTTCCCCTCCACAGCCTCAGTCATGTCCACCACCCTCCCAGCAAAAACCCCCCCTCCCTCTCGGACCAATCAAAAAAGTACCTTAACCACCAAATACCTTATCCCTCAACCACCCCTACCAAATCTAAACAAGCCCTCAAACTACAACAAGGATATCAATAAACGGGGAACGACCCCCCAACAACTCGGCACACAGATCGCACAATCATTCCACGACAGGATATAAAATATTCAAACCACTATTTGTAAAGGTAAGACAACCCCCC